CAATATCCTGAGTTGCCTAACCACACCACTCACTCCCCAAAACATGAGAGCAATGACTAGGAGAATGGGAAAATGTAACACAGGGTAAATCATCACAACAGAATGTCTTCCCAAAAATAAAAAATTACTATGAGGCTACAGCCAAAGCACATTTCCAAATGGCTAATTTGTTAATCAAGTAAACAAAGACATTTATCAATAAGGAGTTAAATTGTCTTAGATTACAGCAGCCAAAGAAATGTGTCCAGAGAAAACAAACATCTTTAAAATCTGAATCCTTCAGTGAAAAGTTACTCAAGTTACAGTCCATATGGAATGATTACAACCATGAATATTTTCAAAACTAATTTTTAAAATATTAACTCAGGAGAATCTAAAGCAGAACCTGCTAAGATGTGTAACAATTGATGGTGGTGAAAAAAACCTATGGAGCAAAAAAGGCTTAGCCTAACAAATTTTTCAACCTCTGTAAACTGCAAGGTGTGTGGAAAAAAAAAATAATAATAATAAAGTGTGTGGAAATGAGTTTTTGCTGCAGACTTGATAGTAATTCTTAATGAATTCAAACTAAAATCAGAAGACCACATTGCTTATGTATAAAACCTCTTGAAGTCATTTCAAGAACAACCAACATTGCTTGAATCATAAGTAACATTAAGTTGTTTTATATACTTCCTATGCTGTCTAAAACAAGAGGGGCTGGGTTTATGGCTTAATGGTAGAGCACTTGCCTAGCATATGTGAGGAACTGGGTTCAATCCTTGGCACCATAAAAATAAATTAATTAATTAAAGATATTGTGTCCATCTACAACTAAAAATATTTAAAAGAAAAAAAAAACAATTATAGGCACATGCCTATAATCCCAGCAGCTTGGAAAGCTGAGGCAGGAGGACGGCAGGTTTGAAGTCAGCCTCTGCAATTTATCGAGGCTGTAAACAATCTATTCTCAAAAACAGATATGGCTGGGGATATGGCTCCGTGGCTAAACACCCCCGGGTTCAGTCTCTGTATTAAATAAATAAATAAATAACAAGAAGCCAGGCACAATGGCATACACCTATAATCTCAGCAGCTCAGGAGGCTAAAGCAAGAGGACCCAAGTTCAAAGCCAGCTTTAGCAACTCAATGAAACTCTGCCTCTAAATAAAAATATTAAAAAGGACTAGGGATGTGGTTCAGTGATCAAATGCCCCTGGATTCCCTCCAAGGAAACCGGGAAAATAAAAAATAAAAACAAGAATGAGGTCTCCATTCCCACACAAATATACAGCAAATACATTCTCCAAAATCAAAGTACATTTCCAATAGCATTTTTCAGACCTCAATTCAAGTACAAAAAGAAATTTCCACATCTCAGAAACCATTTAGCTATGCAATGAGGAACTTCCACCTAACCCTCAATTGTTAGTGCTCAGTCTGTAGTGTGATGATATGCTAAAAGACAATTCTGTAAATACCTTCCAAGCAATGAATATGCCCTATTAAAACCATATGTTCAGGGCTGCAGTTGTGGCTTAGTGGGGGAGCACTTGCCTAGCATGTATGAGACCCTGGGTTTCATTCTCAGCATGACATAAAATTAAAAGGCAACAGTCCTCTCTAGCTCTAACCATTATCCACTATCATATGTGAAAGATGGCATTCTTGTTGCATTTGCAGAAGCAAAGAAAACCTCCTACTTTCTTAAGCCTCAGCAAACTATTCCAAAACACATTGTGGTAGGCAGAAAAACAAATCCAAAGATGTCAACTTCTTAATCTATGGAACCTATGATTGTTACCTGAAAAGGGACCTTTCAGGTGTGATTAAATAAGAGGATTTTTACATGGGAAGATTATCCTGGAGTATCCAAATAGGTCTAATCCCATCACCTAGGTCCTTAAAAGCAGAAAATTTTCCCCAGCTGTCGTCAGACAAGTGTTGACAGAAAAATGATCAGAAAGATGCATCACTGGTGTCTTAGAAGATGGAGAAAGACAGAGGGACATAAACCAAGGAAAGTGACAGCCTCTAGAAGCTGGATGAGGCAAGGAAATGAATTCTCCCCTAGAAACTTCCAGAAAGGAACAAAGTCTTGTTGACACACTGATTTTAACCCACTGAGACTCATTTTGGACTTCTATAGATGTATAAAATAATACATCTGTGTTATTTCAAGCACTAAATGTGTGGTGATACATTATCAGCCATAGAAAACTATTAAACCCACAGTAAATGACTTTTCACAATATATAAAATTATCAAAGCATAATCAAATTGCCCAAATATTTAGAGCACAATAAGAGTTAGTTGTGCATACTGCAATATATTTCACTTCTATTTCTCTCCTGCCATCACAAAATTCCATTCAGTAAAAAGCCAGCAACACCTGTAATCCTAATGACTTGGGAGGCTGAGGCAGGTGGATCACAGACATAAGGTCAGACTCAGCAACTCAGCAAGACCCTGCCTCAAAATAAAAAATTTAAAAAAGGTCTGGGATAGTAGTTCAGTGGTAAAACACATCTGGGTTCAATTCCCAGTACCAGAAAAAAAAAGAAAGAAAAAAAAATGGGCAGGGCAGCGGGAAGCTAGCAAATGTGTCTTCAAACTTTTTTGCACTGAATGAGCTACTTTATTTTTTTAAATGGAACAGTTAGGACAGCAGGATCTACTGGAAAAATCAAGAGACAGTTACACTATATTCTTAAGAGTCAAACATAAAAGTATTCACACTGTTTTCCCCCCTTGTATCAAATGGATACCACATTAAAAAAAAAAAAAAAAGTCCTGCTGGGTGTACTGGCATATACCTGAAATCTCAGTTACTTGGGATAGTTCAGAGCCTAAGTTCCAGAGCCTGGGTAACTTAGCAATACCCTATCTCAAAAAATATAAAGGGCTGTGGATATGATTCACTGCTAGAATACCTCTGGGTTCAACCCCAAGTACAGGGATGGGGGAGGAACCTTTCTAGATGATATTAAGACTTATTATTAAATTTTGCATGACAAGGATATTATGAGCATATTAAAAGGAGAGTGTGATCTATAAATATTTTATACTGAAATATTTACAGATGAGATGGTATGCCTAAGATCCCCTTTAAAATAATTGGGAGTTGGGGGATAGGAATGAATAGGAATATAGCTGAAACTAAATTGGCAGGAGTAAATCACTGTGGGAGTTGGGGAAGGGGTACATGGGAATGTAATATATTATTTCACTGTTTGTTTTTTGTATTTTTCTTTTTTCAGGGCCTCATACATGCTCAGCAAGTTCTGTACCACTGAGCTATACTTCCAACCCATTTGAACTTTTCTTTATTTAAGAGGTACTAAAACAAACCTTGACCTATCATAACAATACAGACTTCTTAATAGCTGAATTGCCATCATATTAACATTGCCTGACCTCAATTCCCTATCACTTTCCATTGGTAGTTTTATCAAGTATTCCTTAATCTCAACTCAATTTGCCCTATTTAGTAATCTTATAAGCATAAGCAAGTCACCTCTAAAAAATTGGTTCTTCAACTGCACAATGGGAATATTCATACTTACTCAGACTATCTCTGAGTTGCCAAGAGGATTAGCCAAGATAAAAACTCCAAAGCAGGGGCTGGGGCAGTAGTGCACTTTCCTATCATGTGTGAGGCACTAAGTTCGATTCTCAGCACCACATATAAATTAAAAAAATAAAGGTCTATTAAAAACTAAAAATTAAAATTAAAAAAATTCCAAAGCAGGATAATCATTCTAGAAATCCATAGATTCTTAAATTTCATCTTCAGTAGCCATTCACCTGTTTCTATAGAATTTCTTCCTTCCACCTACAATTCTCCAGAGCCCAAGTACCTGGGTTTCTCGGGCAAAATTACACTCCTCTCCACTGTCTCCACCCCTGTTTTCATATCTTACAGCCCACCTCTTTCTCTCCACAGGACCTTTAACTAATCTCCACTATCCCCTTTCAAAGATTCCCACTCCATCTGCCCCTAGTCAATCTTTCCGGGGCTCCTATGCTAGTCATACCACCCTTTGCAGTACTTTGATTAGCTTTATCACCCCAGTAGCCTCAAATCCCACTATTGCCGCCCCCTTTCAACAAACACCTACCTTTTCACCCTTCAATTAAACACAATTGATCGTGCTGGGGTTGTGGCTCAGCGGTAGAGTGCTCGCCTAGTATGTGCGAGGCCCTGGGTTTGATCTTCAGCACCACATAAAAATAAATAAATAAAACAAGGATACTGTGTCCAAGTACAACTGAAAAATAAATATTAAAAAAAAAAAAAAACTGCTGCCGGCACGGTGCCCCTAGCCTCTAATACCAACAGTTTGGGAGGCCGAGGCAGGAGGTTCTCCGGCTCAAAGCCAGCCTCAGCATTTAGCGAGGCCCCAAGGAACTTAGCGAGGCCCCATTTCAAAAGGGTCGGGTTTGTGGCTCAGTGGTTAAGCGTCTTGGGTTCAAACCCTGATACAAATAACAACAACAACTTCTCAGACAAATACACTGAGACAGAAAAGACTGATAGTGGAGGGGGCGGAGAGATGAGTGGCTGCTAATAGGTTGGGGCGTCTTAGGGGGTGAGGAAAATGTCCTGGAATTAGTGGTAAGGTTGTACAACTATGGGAATCTGCCAAAAGCCACCAAGCTGCACTTTAGTTATACTTTTAAAGGGCGAATTTTTATTATATCTCAATAAAAATGTATGTCAAACACACACACACACACACACACACACACACACTACTGCTCACCCTGCCCATCACACGCCCATTTGTCAGCCAACATCACCCCATCTCCGGAAGCATCGAGCTGCCCTGCGGTGTCCCCAATTCCCAGCCCAGACGGACCCAGGGCCCTCACACTCTCGCCTCACACACCCCCTCGGGCCCGCTGGGGAGGCGGAAGCCAGGCCCCGCTCCCGAGGCTCGGCACAGCCCTGGGGGTGGCCCAGTCCCCTCCAGCAGAGGAACGTCCCTTCTCCCTGGGGTGGCGGAGCTGCCACTCACCGCCCGACGCGGGCCTGGAAGGAGAGGTGTCCGGAACCCGCTCTGACAAGCGGCGGGGGCCGCGCTGCCGGGGGCCGCGCTGCCGGGGGCGGCGCCACAGCCCACCTGTCTCAGTCTGCAGGAGCTCCGCTTCCAAACCCACGGACGGAGGGCGGGTTGCAAGAGGGCGTCAGAGAAGCGCGGTCCCGCCGCAGCACGGGTGGCGCACCACGGCTCAGGCCTCCATGTTTCCACGTCTCTGCGGCTCCGGGCCGGGCTCCGGCGTGAATGGGCTCCGTCTAAGCCTCCAACCACCGCCGCGTCGGTGCGGAGGCCGGGGGGCGGGGGAGAGAAGAGGGAAGCGGCCGAGAACGCGGCGAGGTACCGAACAGCCGGGCGCGCGCCGGCGGGCGGTCCTATGGCGCGCGGCGCGCGGGCTTCTGGGAAATGTAGTCCTACGGGTGTGGCTCGTGTCTCCGCGTCTCCCCGGCAACCGCCCAGCCACGTGGCAGAGTAGAAAAGCAGGAAAACTCTTGGCTCCTGATGCCTTAACTGTATTAAGGCTCAGGCTCCTGTTAATTCCAACAGGACAACCATCCCAATGTCAAAACAGTTTCTTGTGAGGCTCCGAAGAATCGAGCCATGGAAAAACAACTTGATGGAAGCAACTGGAAGATCTAAACCTACCTGCGGTATTATCAGGACCCATCACACAGGAAGGAAAATCAATATGGTGTAGTGCCAGAAGTACAGAAGTTGAAGTCAAATGAGCTGAAGTTACCATATTGACGTTCTTCAGCAATTACTTTTCCTCTTCTAGACAGTTTCCCCATCTAAAATATAAACATGATGATTATTGACATTACAATAATAATTAACCATTCACATTGAGTTTTCTATCTGCTATGCCCTGATATTTCTCCACATTACCCTATGAAACCACTCTCATTTCCATTATATAGTCAATATGTTCTCTGTAAAATACTGCACAGATACTTGATATCCTTTTCCAAATCTACTGCGAGTAAATTCCCTGAGTCTGCAGAAGAACAGGAAAATATACATAAACATAAGATATCTGGGTGCCTAGCTTAAAAGAGGTGGATACTAATGTGCAGCCATTGGAAAGAATGCTATGGATAAATATTTATTTGAAAGCATTGAATATATACTGAGTGGAAACAGTATTCATAGTATTATCTGATTTTTGTAAATTAATCATATTTATAATACCTATTACATGCTCCCATATAATATAACAATATGCAATTTGGGATCATGATTGTGTGATTGTATAATTAAAATTACATTTTCCCTAAATGTTGTCAAGTTTTTCTGCAATATATATTAATTACATATATAATATCATTTTTAAATTACAGCAAAAAGAGTAGTAGGCAAACTCAAAAGTATTTTGTACTTTTGCCTGCCCACACTCTTCCTCCAAATTGACCTAGAAACAATTATGAACCTCCCTTTTGAACTGGTGTTATGGACCAAGATGCAACATATTCTACTTTAAAGTGATCCTAATAGAGGAATTTAACATTCACTATTTTGTATTTTTTGGATGGTATGTTAGTCAACTTCTGGTTGCTGCAGGGAGATACTCAAGATAAACAACTTCAAAGAAGTAAATATTTGGGGCCATGGTTTCAGAGGTTTCAATCCATGGTCACTTGACCATATAACTTTCTGCCTGTGGTGACAGGCAGAGGATTAGGGATGTTACTCACCCATGAGGGCTGGAAAGCAAAAAAACAGGGGGAAGGGGTCAAAATATCCCCTTCAAGGGCACACCCCCCCTGTGACCTAATTTCCTTCCACAGAGCCCCATCTCCACCATGTCCCCACAGTGCCACAGGCTGGGGACCACGGGTCTTTGGGGAACATAAGAGCTTGAATAAATGGCTTAAAATTAAGAGAATCTATCCATTGTTTCCAGGCAACTCTCAAAATGTTGCAAGGCAAACTTCCCAAGTCAGAGGGTAAGATTGGGAATGGTTTTAACAACATAGGAAGCCTGGATTGGGGTAGAAGTGCTTCAGTAACTTTAGTGAACATATAAAATGCCAAGTCTTATCCTTGGTCACTAATTTTCAATAATACCTGCAGAAATAATCATGATACTTTGACTGACTTCTTCAGTGTCTAGTACTAACAGAGACACCAACAGGAAAGTCATACATATACATGTAGTTTCTTGGGCATGCAGAGACTATCTCCAGGTAATAAAGAAACTGGCCACTTTGACAGTCTCCTATGAGGGAAACTGGGTGCTTGAGAATCATGGGAGAAGGAGAAATCTTGGTCTCCTTACATTCCCATCTTATGAACTTTGAACTTGGTACCTAGTGAAATTATCACCTACACACACACACTCACAAAAAAAAAAAAAAAAAAAAGTCGGGTGCAGTGGCACATACCTGTAATTCCAGCAGCTCTGGAGGCTGAGGCAGGAAGATCATAGATTCAAAGCCAGTGTTACTGTTGTAGGGGACAGACAAGGCAAGGCACTGAAGATAGCAGGAAACAATTTTATTTGGCTATACCCAGGTTCTGAGGGAATAGCTTTTGCTGTAATCAATTAATCCCCTGAACCCCAAGTTCAGGTAGTTTCAGAACTGTATACATGTTAGGGGAGGGGCTCAGAAGTTCACAGTCTGCAGAAGTTCACATAAAAGCAGCTTTTTCTTTCACTGTTCTGGGCAAGTTAACCCTTCAGGGACAACACCTGAGAAGGGGAGAGTTTCTTCTCCCTTTACTTTCCTCCCACTGCCAGCTGTTACCATGGAGCCTAATTGGTAACTTCTCTTAGAAATATAGACATCTCTGTGAAGCTCCAGTTCAAGGCCTTGTTAAAGGATTTTTTTTTTTTTAATCTCATTTTGCACTTGCAAACACACTTCTACAAACTATTATACTGGATAAATGTTTGTGAAAAACTAGTAAAGGGGCATACAGCACCTGGAGTGCCAAATTCTTCCAGGCCAGTGGCCAAGTAAAATAGAGCAATGGGAAAATAGGAAGTTTACCTACACTGAACACTTTTTGTAGAGATTCTTGCTGATAGTTCTAAAATCAGTTCTGATGAAGATTTCTAGAGAAGCTTAGTTAAGACCTTCTGCCGAGGGGGAGGTCCCACTACATCAGCAAAAATGAGGTGCTAAACAACTCAGTGAGACCCTGTCTCTAAATAAAATACAAAATAGGGCTGGGGAGGTGGCTTAGTGGTCGAGTGCTCCGGAGTTCAATCCCTGGTTACCCCCACACACACCAAAAAATAGTACAATTTAAGGTTTTTAAATTCTGCAGACTGAAAACCAAAAAACAGAAAAACAAAAAATAGATAGCATGTGGTTCAAGTTCAAAAGGGCCTGGAAGTTATTAGATGACTGAATTCAGTAAGTAGGATAGGCAGCTGAAAGAATTCACTCATATTCTGGGAAGGTCAATTTACATGTAATATAGTAAAAGAGAAAGAGTAGCAGTAGCTATTTATTCATTTGTTACTTTGTTTATACCTTTCTTTCTAAACTACTTAAGATGACTTGAGAATTATGTACAAAATTGCAACATTAAAAACAAAAGGAAAATATAAATAAATAAATAAATAAATAAAAACAAAAGGAAAAGAAGTAGTGCAGGAGACATAAATTAGAGACACTTGAGTAAACTACCTATCCTTCAAAACCTTCTCAGCTAAACTTTTCCTAACTATTGGTTAGCAAGGTTTGGAGTGCAACTTTACTGTATTGCAAGTTAAATATACACATTGGAAGCTGATCATGGTGGCATATGCCTGTAATCCCAGCCATTTGAAGGCTGAGGCAGGAGGATCACAAGTTCAAAGCCAGCCTCAGCAATTTGGTAAGCCCCTGAGCAATTTAGTGAGATCCCATCTCAAAATAAACCAAGGGGCTAGGGATGTGGCTCAGTGGTTAAGCCCCCCTAAATTCAATCTCTGGTACTAAAAAAAAAAAAAAATCAAACAAACCCCACACACACATTGGGGCTGGAGGGAGCTGAATTTCTTTTTAGAAGGTAAAGAGCCAAAAAATGACCTATAACTAAGAAGATACTCCACAAGCAGCACCAAAACTGCCCCCAAGTTATTGTCTCAAGTCTGTTCCAAAAATAGTGCTCAGGTTTTCACTTCCCTGAGAAAGAACAGACTTTGGAGCCAAAGTTGAGTTTAAAACTAAACTCTGGGTTGAGTTTAGGTTCCATAATTTATGTACAGAATGACTTTAGGCAAGCCACTTCAACTCTCTGTGCCTCCATTTTCTCCTGAAAGGTAGTAGGAAGAGTAAGGACGATGTAGGGAATGTGAGCAGTTAAATAATCTCTTCATTTTAGAGATGAGGAATTGAATCCTAGGGACATGAAAAGACCCCAACAAGAACACCCAGCCAGTAAGTTGAGTAAACAACTGGACAGACTCCTGAACTAGCATTGCAGAAGCTCTGCCTGATGCTATGGTAGTGAATTTCCTGCAAAGTCAGCTGTTAGCAGCCAGGGTCAGATGTGGCTGCAGATAGTTTGCTCAAAAGGCAGTGATTCCTCTAGCTACTTAGGAGGCAGAGGCAGGAGGATCTCCAAGTTCAAGGTCAGTCTGGGCAACTTAAAGAGACTCTGTCTCAAATTTTAAAACAATGAACAAATGAAAATTAAAAGGCAGTGACTCCAATGTTCCTGGGTGTCATCTGCCTGATAGAGTGGGAGGCTGCACCACTAGTTCTCCTTCCTGGGGAGAGCCCACATTCAGCCTTCCTTTTCCTGCATCCTGAGACCATGCCATTTCCCAGGGTCCAGAGTTGCTCTCTGTCTGAGAGGAGCTATTTAACACAGCATTGCTGGAAGATCCTAGGGACCTCCCTAGGGAGGGAGACAAGGCAGCTGTTGATGTCTCCTTCCCACTGGGGACAAATTAGTAAGAGTCTCAAACATAACATTTAATGTTGTATCAAAAACTCTAACCCATGTCAGGCACTATTCCAAAATTTTCAGCTGTATTAATTAACTGAATGGTCCTTAGGACTTTTCAGACTAGGTATGCTATGGTTTCAAGTATGAGTGCCTCCAAATTTCACATTGGAACCTAAACCCCAGCATGATGGGACTTAGAGGTAAAGCCTTTGGGGGTAAATGGGTCACAAGAATTGATGGAAGTTGAGCATGGTGGGGCATGCCTGTAATCCCAGCATCTTGGGAGGCGAGGCAGGAGGATGAGTTCAAAGCCAATCACAGCAACTTAGTGAGGCACTATACTCAGTGAAACAGTGTTTCTAAATAAAATACAAAATGGGGATGTGGCTCAGACAAAATATACTCATTTTGTCCAATCACATTTTGACACCATGTTTCAAGCATATGTATGTAATGAAGCCTTCATAAAAATCTCAAAAGACTGGATTTGGAGATGTTCTGGATAGCCGAATATATGGAGATTCCTGGGATTCCAACCAGAAAGGGCATGGAAGCTCCATGCCCCTTCTTTGTACCTCACCCTATTCACTTCTTCATCTATATCCATTATATATCCCCTTTCAATTATAATCCTTTATAATAATCCAGTATAAGTGTTTCCCTGAGTTCTTCAAGCCACTTGGGCAAGGGGTGAGTGAGAACCTGATTTATAGCCAATTGAGCAGAAGCATAGGTAAAACAACTTGGGGCTTGTAACTGGCATCTCAAGAGGGGGTAGTTGGGGAAACTGAGCCCCCAACCTGCAGGAACCAAAGCCATCTCCAGGTAGATTGAATTAGAGGACACCCAGCTGGTATCTACTGCTGCAGAATTACATGCTTAGTGTGTGGTAGAAGAAACCTATCATATGAGAAAGTCTGAGTTTTTCTTTGGGGTTTTATTTCTCCAGCACATCTGGTAATTAAAGGATTAGAATCATTAGGAAAATGGTAAGCAGACTTTTTAGGTATTTTTTTGTTTTTTTTTTTCTTTTTTAGTTATAGGTGGACACAATACCTTTATTTTACTTATGTGGTGCTGAGGATGGAACCCAGTACCTCACACATGCTAGGGAAGTGCTCCACCTCTGAGCTATAACCCCAGTCAGGCAAGCAGACTTCTAAGAGGCTTCCCTAGATTTCTTTGTCCCTGGTAGAAACCATGCATCATCTCCCAAACATCAACTATTAGTTTGGTGCTGCTGTGAAAGAATTTTGAAGATTGATTTCAAATTAGTTGACCTTACATATGCAGGCCTGACCTAGTCATAGGAGCCCTTCGAATGCAGATTTCCTGACTGGTCCCAGAGGATCAGAAAGGCAGGAAGAAAGTGAACCCCAGTGTGGTGAGTGCACTGTGGGACTCTGTGCAAGGGAACTGGGAGTGGCCTCCAAGAGCTGAGGCCCCAGCTACCTGGAAGGAAACCCGGGACTGCAGTCCCACAAGCAGCAAGTTTGGAAGAGAACCATGGGCCTTCCTGAGAACCACAGACCTGGCCAACATCCTGATTTTGGTCTGGCGAAACCCTAAGCAAAGAAACCAGTTATGCCATGAGGACATCTGACCCAGAAAACCTGTGAGATAATACATTCATGTTGTTTTAAGCCCCTAAGTTTGTGGTAATTTGTAATATAGCAGTAGAAAAACAAATACACCAGCGAAACATGAAATAGCATCTGACAAATTGCCAAGTCAGAAGCAGAACCCCCTGTATGGCTGTATATGTAATGCACCGACCTAAGGGAATCATTTACATGGTTGTCAATGTGCCTTCTGAAATTGCCCAGTGCACACTTGGCACAACTGTACCCAGCAGTCCTGCAGGAGACTCCACTCTTGCCCTATCCCAGCACCTGAGCCACCTCTTTTGTCCTTGGTGAAAATGAGAGGATTGGGTTAGATGTGCCCTAAGGGCCAGACAAGCTCAACTCTTGGGAGTCTTTGGTATATTTTGTGAATACTTTACCCCACATTGGCCCTTCTCAGTTCATCTGCAGTTTATTTTTTCAACATTTATTTTTTAGTTGTAGTTGGACACAATACCTTTATTTTTACATGGTGCTGAGGATTGAACCCAGGGCCTCACACGTTAGGCAACCGCTCAACCACTGAGCCAGAACCCCAGCCCTCCCATCTGCAATTCTTGACCCTCTCAATTCCAATCTCTCCCTTCACTTGAAAAATCTGAAATTTCTTACTCTTTCAATTAACAAGGTTTCTCTGAAGAGAATGGAACCTCAGCTTGGCCTGGGTGGGTTCTTGACTTTCAACACTGAGATTTCAGGAGGCAAGGTACAAGCAAAGATTTATTTACACATAGTAAAAATGTACACATCCAAAGGCAGGGCACGGATACACCCTTCCTCAAAGAGAAAACCAGGACATGCCCAGGTTGGGCCCTGATTACCATAATTTTTTTTCTGGAAAGAAATGTGCAAGTTCTCAATCTTCTTTGAAAGTAAATTTCCATGAATGTGGGGACAAGTGCATGGAGTACTGCATACATGGCATGTTATGGGCATCATGAGTGGCGAAACACTCAGCCTTGCTAGGCTTGTGTGGGGCAAACTGCATCCCTGTAGACACAGCCCTGGGCGTGAAGCCTTTGGAGCAAGTTCCTGTGCTTGCTCCAAAGCCCACTCCTTGATTGGTCACTGCAAGGACAGTTAGCAGAAACTGCATTGGTGGCTGCCTGTAATCTGCTTAGCTACTGCATGAGTATGTATACATGGTAACTGTGCAATAAAATGAGACCGGCTTCCTGCTTGGTCTCCAGAGGTCTTGTTTAGCAACTATGCAGCCACACTCTCCTCTACCCTGTTCCGTAGACCTCCTCGCTGGACGAGACACAGCCTACACACATGAAAATCATTCTGTACTTGGGGTTCAGAATGTTGTTCTTTGGCCAAATGGTCTAGCCATCAATCATTTGTAGGCCCATTTTATAAGTCTTTGAATCTATGAAACTTAAATTAGTCATGTTTTTGTTCTTATTGATCTGTTACAAACACACCACAGAGGTTTTGTTTATCCAACAAAAGTTCCAGGTCTTTTTCTTTCTTCCTGAGACTCCACCTATCTCTTGTCTAACTTTGGGCCATCTTCTTTCTCTTCTTGTTACTTGTGGTAACTTCATAAGAATGTCTGCCTGTAGTTTGTGCTTCTTCCTTAAAGCAGAAGTCCACATCAACAATTAATAGCTTTGAGGATGAAACAAACCAGAAGCTCCCTGGGGAAATCATAAAGAACCTTCCCTCCCCCACTTCCACTGTGATTTGAGTGAACTCAAAAGACGTTTAACTTTATGGGGTTCAGGAGACTTGACATCAGTGGTTAAAAGTTCCTTTCAATAGAATCCACCTAAGAGGGCAACAAGCCAGTGGACAGTAATTTTGAGAAAATGCTGACTTACCCAGGTTTCCTAGGAAGGTAGCTAGCTAAGTAATGAAAAAAAGGTGACAAAACCCAGGAGTCTTTCAGGTGAATCTTGAATAATTATGTAAGAAAATGAGTTTGTCTCACAAAGAGACAAAAAATTTTAGCTAGAATTTACCAGGACAAAAGTAAATTATTGAAAAGTAGGTAAATTAAAGCATCATGCTGCAAGGTAAGCAAAATTAGAACTTTAAAACAAGCTCACAGGGGCTGAGGCTATGGCTCTACCACTTTTCTAGCATGTGTGAGGCACTGGGTTCGATTCTCAGCACCACATATAAGTAAATCGATAAAATAAAAGTCTATACATTTAAAAAATTAAAAATAAAATAAAAATAAATAAATAAATAAAACAAGCTCACAAATACTGATCAGTTCAAACTCATGCTCTCCATTTTTGCTCAATTATTCCCATTAGGTATTACTAGCAATTATGTATTACAAGCTGTGACGGCTCCTTAGTGTAAGTTAAGGAGAAGACCTTAATCAGGCATGGCAGTACATGCCTGTAGTCCCTGCCACCTGGTAGGAGATCCAGAGATCACTCAAGCCCAGGAGTTCAGGACCCAGTTTTTTTTGGGAAAAAACAAAACAAAATCTTAAAAACATAGACTTGCCACTTAATATATCTAAACTCTATGATCCTGTTTTTTTGACCATTTCAGAGTTTCACAAATATCCAATACCTTCATGTATGTGATATACCCTTACACAGTGCCAGGCACAATGTGTTTAATAAATGGTAGCTCTTAGTAGGACGGCAGCCCTTAGGTATAAGTTGTCCGACAGGACTGATACTTTGGGGAAGGGTGAACTGGTGCGATACTGGGCAGCAGCTGTCAAACCTAATATAAGGACAGTTGAAGAAAGCATTTCTCAATCAGCCATAAAAATGAAGAAAAATGGTCCAGCACAGTGGCACACACCTGTAATCCCAGTGGCTCAGGAGGCTCTAAGAAACAGTGATACTGTCTCAAAATAAAATACTATTATCTTATATTCTTATGTTGTCTTATTCTTTTTTTATTAAAATGTCTTTTATGAAATATTGGTAATAAATGAGAGTTTTTTCCTTTGCAGTACTGGAAACGAACTCAGAGGTGTTTTATCACTGAATCTTTGTTATTTTTTCTTTTAAGACAGGGTCTTGCTAAGTTGCCAAGAGTGGCCTTAAACATAAAATTGACCTGTCTCAGTCTCCCAAACTGCTGGGATTACAGGCAGGTGTCTGGTTGGTTGAGGCAGAAAAGTTGAGACCTGCTGATTTATATCAAATGAAGTTCAGGGTGTTTCCATAGGCTAATAGGCACATAGCTTAATATAACATTGGTTAAGACCCAGGACTTCACTGAGGACCCAAGGGCAAGAGTGCCTTTTAATTCTTCCGTTTTCAAGGAAATAAATATAATATACCTCATGATCTTTGAATATTTACAGATCCCTAAACTGAACTAAAAAAGCCCAGGATGAAACAGTAAGCCCCCGGCTGTGTAAGAGAGCTCAGACCAGCCAAGAACTGCCCAGACAAGTCACTGTTATTGAAACTACTCAATGATGGCCTGCCTTGTGCAACAGTAGGTAACTGGTTTCCCATCACTATCTAAATGCCATCTCAGTATTAAAATTATCTTATGATATGGTAAATAATTTCCCTTTCAAACATTTAATAAAAACTTTAAGAGAACAAAGAACCACAAATTAAATGTTTAATGCATTTGTAGGAATGGAAGGAATGCAACAGCATTATAATTTTATAATACATTAGACATTTATGTAAAAGATGTTTCATTTTTCAAAGTTTCTCCTATATCCTTCTTTTCCATCTTTCTCAGAGCAATAAACAGTAGTTACTTACTCTCATAGATAAATTGCTCCATTGTGTTGGACAGTAATCTTATCTTTAAGTTTCACATCATTATCATCTGTACTATTTCACAGTAAAACTTAATCCATTCAAATTAAAATGACCTGAAGAATTAGAGCAAAGAGCAGTCAAATTCACGTGGATGAATGAATGCTAGAGGCCCAAGGACTTTAAGTACTGAGTATTTACTGGCACAAACCTATTTATTCATATTATTAAAACAGCAATAATAGAAATTAAAGCTACTATAATGAAAATGGAACTCAGGAATGAGGTCATTAAATATAACTAAGTACATTTTAAATATAAATACTATGTATTTCCCAGTAAGTATCAGATAAATAAACTCTCTATCCAAAATTCTAGTTTCAGAGAAAAAAGTCAGAGACAATTACAAAGAAGGTGCTTTGTGTCATCAGGTCCATTTTAAAAACATTTGCGATCCTTTGGAAAAGTTGCATTAGTCTTTCTTTTTATCATAGATTCCTGTTGGTCCTTTTGTTGGTAATCCATTTCTGTCGGCACCCTAAAATGAAATAAACATTTAAAGAATTATTATAAAAAAAGACACTAAAAGAAAAAAGAAAAAAATACCAAAATGTTTTCTTTAAAAACACACAACTTTAGAATGAAACAATTTTGTTCCAGAAATGTGCAAGATACCTAAATTAGTACAACAGAATACAAAGTTGAACTTAACAAGCACCAATGCTGAAGGCAATAGAGTTGTCTAAATATTAATTTTCAAATACCTTGTTTGTCTTGGCCATAAGGCAAAGGACAAATGCACTAATCCTCTGTCTAATTTAAACCTTTAAGTTAAATGTTAATTACTTGAGAAAAATTATTGAAGCTTCTGGCTCCAAAAACTTGTTCTTCCAAAAGCCAAGTGTTAACTCAAGTATCGCCCCTTCACTGCCCTTGTTCAAGGCATTTGAATGTTCTTACCTTGCAGTCTACTTTGCCTTTGTTTTTATCATTGGATTCTTGTACAGCTTTTTTAGGCCATATGCGACTAACAAAAGGGGAAATCATAGGGTATATGTATGGCTCCAGGAATTTTTTGTAGATCCAGAGAAGAACAGGAATGACAATACAAGGAATGCACACCATTGTCCCAGGCTCAAGCTCGGAAACTGTTGATATATGTGAGGAAAACATTAGTTACCAAAGATTTAATGGCTAAAGAATTTTACTTACAGTAACATATCTGAAAGGGCGGGATGTAGTAGCACATATCTATGATCCCAGCTACTTGGAAGGCAGAGGCAGGAGGATCACAAGATCAAGGTCAGCCTTAGTAACTTAACTTTCTCAAAAAGGGGGGGGGGCTGGGGGGTATAGCTCAGTGGTACAGCACTCCTGGGTTCAAATCCCACTACAAAAGACAAGAAAAGAAAAGAGAAGAGAGAAGCAAAGCCCCAAAGGATTCTTTTATAGTGAAGGGGAAAAGTTTAAAACCATTATTTCTTTCTTTCTTTTTAAATATTTTTTAGTTGTAGGTGGACACAATACCTTTATTTATTTATATATGGTGCTAAGGATTGAACCCAGTGCCTCACACTACCATTACCACTACCACTGAGCCACAACCCAGCCCCTAAAACCATTATTTTTTAAAACAAAGTTTATTAAATAAAAATGCTGCCATCTGCAAGGTAAAGGAATAAGATGTAGACACGAATAATGAGACGCCAGCATCCAAACCTTTTCGATCACTGCTCCCCAATCATAAATTTGATGATAAAAGAAAGACACCAACTCTCAATAGGTATAAATAAGTTTATATACACTAACTCATTTAATCCAGGAGGCTGTGTACCCTTGCTATTTCCACTTACTGATAAAGAAGGAACAAAAGACATCATGACTTACATCCCATGAAAGTGTAGAGTACACTGAGTGTGAAATAACTTCCAAGTCCCAATATTCAGGGACTGACAATATCAATTACCCAAACCTTACAACACTAAAGGCAAATTCTGTAATCAAGACATGACTTTGGAAGACCTTGAGGCTACAAATCAATTGGCCTTTACTAAGCAACAACTCTTAGATATGCTTTGTTTTTCTTTCTTTCTCTTTTTGTGGTGCTGGGACAGAACTCAGGTCCTTGAACACATTAGGCAAGCCATCTTCAACTTAGCTATACTCCCAGTCCTGTTTTTTTGGTTTCAAGGGCATGAATTAAGGTGTACTGAAAAATAAAAAAAATTTATTCAATATTATCACATAGGTCAATTTCTAAAAGTTCATTTCTAAAAGTTAACATGGCCAATTTCCTTGGTAATTATGAATCCTATTGGAATTTCTGAAAGTCACCAATATCTTGAAAAAAGGCCCAATAACAGTTACATAACACAATTAAATCAAAAGATCTTTTAAATTTACAAGAATTTTTACTCCTCTAAGAGTAGGATGCAGAACCTTAAATAAAAAGTAAGCAGTTTTAAAACAGTGCACAAGGCATAATTCAGTATTTTAAAATTTCTAATTTTCAAAATATTGTAAATTAAGCAGTGTTGACTGGCAAATAAGTCAGCACCATGAGTATTCTATTCAATTTTAAATGTTCACAATACAGGTAGAAAACAATGGTATGGATAATCCAATCTGAATGTGCCCTTGAAATGATGGAGATGAAAATTTACATCAAGGAATATAGACAGCTATTTTACAAAGGACCCATTAGATTCTTTGAAACAATCCCCTAGTCAAAACAACACTTTAAGTGGGCTGGGGCTGGGGCTGTAGATCAGTGGTAGAGTGCCTGCCTAGCATGTGTGAGGCACTGGGTTCGATCCTCAGTACCACATACAAATAAGTAAAATAGAGATATGTGTCCCATCTACAACTTAAAAAAAAAAAAAAAGCATTTTAAGAATCTACCAAAGTAACCTGTTCCAAAAGTTTAAAGAACATATTCTCTGATTAAAGTATGACAAACTAGCCAAGCACAGTGGCACAAGCTGTAACTCCAGCTCCCTGGGGAGGGAGAAGCAGGTGGATCCGAAATTCCAGGCTAACCAGGGCAACTTGGTAAGATCCTTCCTGTCTCAACCTAAAAAAAAAGTAAAAAGGCTGGGGGAATGCAACTCAGTGGTAAAGCTTCCCTGGGGTTTAATCCCCACCCAGTATGGGAGGAAAAGGGACAAAAGAAAAAAGACAAACTAGTGCTGATTCTCGGAATTTTTCAAAGGATCATTATTTTTGACCACACATATTTAGAATCTGATCTGAGGACATTTCAGAGGTAATTTGGTTTGGGTCTTGAACGTTCTTTCAGGTACTACTACAGTACTACTTTGGCTGGCAGTTACCTGGATCTGAGAGGGGCATGACCACTTTCTAGGTGACATTTCTGCACAAATAATTTAACCCAACAGTGCCTTAATTTTTTCTCATAAGTAAAATACAGACAATAATAGTACCACTCTTACAGGAATGCAATGTAGGCCAGATTGTCTGCACATATTGTAACTTACGTATTATTTTTAAAAGACCAGAAAAACAAAAAGCTCAAAAGTTGTGACTTGTCCAAAGTTCATTGTAAACAGAGTTAAGACCAGAATTTCCAGTTCCGGTTTCCCAGCTCAAGATTACTGCCTTTTCCCCTTTGAAAAAACATAATGATCATGTTCTCCATCTTCTACCAAACCTTCAAAACCAAGTGACCCCTTTCAAAATAACGGGTAATACTCCCAATACTAGGTTACACTGGAGACTGGCAATCCTATATGAAGATTCATTTTTACCTTTGAGGTTGTCTTAAGTAAGATCGTACACATTATGTTGTAAATCAACTCTCGAAAACAAATGCTACTAACCACTTAACGTTACAATTATCGCTTTGATGAATTTTAGCTCTTTTTATAAAGAAACTGCTTGTATTTTATCTTTTAATCTTCATAATGATTCGCTACAGGAGAATGTGGTTTTAGAAAAGTCTAGAAGGTGGCAAGGAGAGACTCGTTTGAACTATTCTCCAAGACAGCAAAGCGAGCAAATTGAATTATAACTGCTGCAGAGGAATCACCTTTCATTCGACTCGGCCCAAGATGACAATGGAACAGAGAGGAAAAGGCCAAGCTCCCTCAGAAATAGGTCAGGTAGGGCGGGCCAGAAAGCCACCTCGTTCGAAGAAACCCTGAGACTGAGTCAAAAACAGCTGAAAAGACCGAAGGGAAAAGCAGGGTCAGTGGCGAGGATTACAGAAGGGAAGCGACACGGACATCACCAGGCACGGCAGAGAACGAACCGGCAAGGAGAAAAGGAGCTGCAGGACCGAGGCCCCGAGCGGGCGGGTGGAAAGGGCGCGCGTGGGGAGCGAGAGTACCGTGAGGCCAGGCAGAGTGTAGCGGGAGCTCAGGCCGCCGCAAGGCTCCGAGCAGGGCGGTCAGGCGAGCCAGCGAGTCGCGCACCGGCCGAAGGCTCCTGAGCGCCACCGGGAAGAGCCTGTGGAGCTACTCGAAACCGCCGGGGAGCGCAGAGGACAGAGCGCAGCCTGCCCGGCGCATCCAAGCCTGGCTCACCTGCGACGACGAAGTCACCAAGGCAAAGCCCGCACTTCCGGGGGGAGGGACAAGCTGCCGCCTAGCCAATGGGCACCTCCAAAGGGGCTGACAAAGGGTGCTGCGTCAGCTTAAAGACGCACGGGACGTAATGGAGACGCGGGGCGGGACTCGCCGAGACTAGCCAGGACTACCGGCGCTATCGTCCAGGACCTGAGCCTTCAGGCCCGGAAGTACAACCAAGCTTTGTAGGCGGCCGGTAGATGCAGCTCCTTTCGTTAGAATATTTGAGCTAGGGCCTGTTCCAGAATGCAGAATTCAAAATAGGGATTCTGGAAATATCGCCTATCAGTGGCCGCCACACACAGGAAATGTTACACCACTCGCACGTAATAGGCTGTTTGCAGGCCCACCTGGCTTAGGCTATTTGCTCAGCAAATTAAAGCAACTTAAATGGAAGGGCAGATTTGGGAGTAAACGCTAAACTTAAGGGGATAGGGGTGTAGCTGAGTGGTAGGGCAAGTCCTTGCCAGACGGTTCAATACCCAATATCAAATGAGTTAATAGAAACGGTTGTACCATTTCATCACCTTTAGGATTGTTACCTGTAATTTTGTACTGGTGAGAATTTGGAACCACTGCTGGTGGGAATGTCTTGACAGTTCCTCACCATGTTACTGGGATCATCTTATGATCAAAATAGAAATGCAAAAAATGCTTACACAAAAAACGTGCACACAAGGCTTTGCAACACTATTTGTAACAGCCACTGTTCAGGAATTGATTATATGGAATACATGCCATAGTACACACAAACCCAAAAAACATGCCATGAAATTCAAATCAGACACTAACTCCATTTTCATGAAATGTTCTTAAGAGGCAGATCTATACAGAAAATAGATGATCAATAGGGGAAATGGAGAATGAGTTAACTACTGTTAGGACTCTGATGGGCTAGGTATGATGATGCATGCCTGTAATCTCAGCAACTGGTAAGCATGAGGCAGGAGGATTCCAAATTCAACACCAGCCTCAGCAACTTAGGGAAACATCTCAAAATAAAAAAATACCCTTTGTAAATGGGTGGACTGTATGGTATGCTAAATCTCAAGGCTGTTTAAAAAATACAGAGTTTCAGAAATTTCCCCATATTACATTTTATACAAAGGATCTCAACATAATCAAAACAGCATATTTTGGAATATCCTAGCTACTTCAGAAGCTTGAGAATGACTTTGATCCTAGGGGTTCAAGGCCAAAGACCCCAAACAAAAACAAAAGCCTGTTTCTAATTTTAGTTTATGACTTGTGACAATACCCAAAATACTTGCTAGACCCTGGATTCAACCCCCAACACCACCACACAAACATAATAAAAGACAACCAACATTTTTTTATTTGCATTTATTTTTTGTTGAATTTATTCCCGTGCCATAAGTTTTTGTTTCTTTAGCTTCTTCTGGGATATCTGGGAAAGGAAAAAGAAAAAAAAATTTTGAGATTTCAAGGACATGTGCTTAAAGTGGCTAGGGAAACCTAAGTGGGACCACAGTAATTATATGCATTTGATAATACTGACTACAAAATTATTATTGTTTAGGCAAGAAACAAATTAGGGTCATGAAAGCCAAAATAATGTGTTAAAAGGTTGCTCAGAATACTTTCCTTTCATGGTTATTCCAAAGGTGTCCTAAGATGGTCATCACAGCAACCATAGATCTTTCTAAAGTACTTGAACAAAATCAAGCTATTAAATAATTACCTTTTTCTTCTGTGCAACCTCCTCTTCTGGTTTAGGAACAATTTGTTCCTTTTCAGTGAGGATCATCTCAATGTGGCAGGGGGAACTCATGTATGGGTTAATCCGACCATGAGCTCTGTAAGTACGACGGCGCATCTTGGGTGCTTTGTTCACCTGGATATGTTCAATGACCAGAGAGTCTACGTCTAAACCCTGGCAAGAGAGGGAGAACAAAATAAGGTTAACATCTTTCATGGTCTTAATGCTACTAACTACATTATTGGGAAATACTAATTCCCAACCAATATCCCATCCATTTCTGAATTAAAATCATTTTTGAAAGACAATCCATTAAGATCTTCAATGGTATATTTTTTTAAGACACTGTCTGCTTTCTGAATTATCACCATAATGATGTTCTTACTGTGCTCTACCACTGAGTTGTATCCCCAGTTTACTATCATGTTTGTGACCACCCTATGCCTATAATCTCAAGTTATGAGAAGGTTGAGGCAGGAGCTTCTCAAGTTCAGGGCCAGTCTATAACAACTTGGGTAGTCAAAAAGGTTAGGGATGGTGGTGGTAACTGAAGGATGTAGCTTAGAGGAAGAGAACTCCTGAGTTCCATCTTAAAGGGTGCAGGGGTGGGGTCATGGTGAAGAGGACAAAGTACAGCCAGTTTCTACACCCTGATATAACCACTAATAAGGCAATCATTCTGATAATTAATCATACTCCCAAAAGGTTCATGGCACAAGAAGTTACAGCTGTTGGTAGATTTTTATAAAAATCTTTATAGACAAAATTTTGGACTGCTGGAGACAGAGAAGTCTTTAGAATATTTAAATGAGAGATTTAATCAGAGCAAAACAATGATATAAATCTGGAACACCACTTAATTTGCATATACACATAAGGAGGCTTACGGTTTGGGTACCTTAAGTTCAGCATTACTCTCTGCATTTTTAAGCATGTGCAGCAAAAATTCAGCACTCTTTTTGGGCCACCGGCCCTGTGTCCAGCCCCACTGTTTGGCCTG